AACATCACCTCTGTTTGCTGTTGATTGCAGTGACATCTATTGGAGAGGCAGTGTTTGGCTACACAAGCCACCTCACCTGACCAGCACTGCTTTCAGGTGTCACCACCCTCTCCCTCCCAAAATTAAGAATTGCTTATCCTTTGTTTTAGCACAGCTTTGCATAAAACAGACTCTGAGCAGTCATATCATCAAGAATTATACTGATTTACCAGTGGGTTTGGTTGTAGTGAGTTGTTAATATTGTTAATATTACTGGCATTTTTCCACGTGCCAATGATCGTTTTCCCACAGCACTACATACACACTTCCTGAGGCCATATTTTTGCTGGTCATATATGGTCATATACTTGACCATACCTTCTACAAAGTCCCATCTGGACTCTATGCCTCTTTTTCAGCTCTTGTTTTTACTGAAAGCCACCATCCTCTCACACAAGTGAGGGGAGCACTGGTGCTATGGAAGCTGCTGAAAACCTCTGGTGTGGTGAGGGCACCCTGCTCAGATGCCCAAGCCCTTTCTAACCCCAACCCTACCTAGACAACAGGCAGAGTGGCTCCATCTGAACCAACCTACACATGTGAGCACACCCAGACTCTCCCCTCTGGCACCCCACACAGCCACAGATCTAACACTGTGGGGAATGCAGAGTCGAAATCATAGAGAAGGTTTAAAATCTCTTGCTTTGGTAGAGAAACCACCATTCCTCATCCAAAACCATTTTAGGAAGATCAGTCATGATGCTTTCTTACAGCTTCATTGATTGCTACATTATCTAGAGGCAAAATAAAAGGAAGGGGGCATTATTATCCCCTTATTAGATACGGTTAAATATCCTTGCAGACAGGAAGTCTGCGTGCAGCAGTATCTAGTCCATTATCTTAGGCACCTTTCACAAATTTTTCATTCCTATCTATTTTTATTATTTTAAACTTCTTTGAAACCAACCAGATCATTCTTAACTAACTAGACAAGCAGCTTTACCAAAAAAATATATCAATTGAAATTAAGGATTCCAAGTTCTTTCAACAGTTATCTTTTCAGCTTTCTTAGGATTGATTTTTAAGGCCTGCCTGATTTAACTTGTGAATGCTTCACCTCACATCACAGAAGTCTAAATTGTACAGTTATGAATACCCCAAGGGAAACCTTATAAAATTTTCCATTGCAAACTACTCTGCCCATCCATTTCCTCTGCTTCTTTTTACTACTAACCCCTCATTATAGCAACGAGCCACAACAGGGTGCACATTAGTCTATTAGCAGATTCTTAGTGCACACCTACAGCCATCCACCACTCAAGGAAAACACACCACTGCCTACTGATGCAGCCTGTAGCACAGCTGCTTGCAAGTACAAATAGCTCCTTTGTATGCTCTCCCCTCCTCTTACTTGTTTTGATTTAAAAAAAAAAAAAAAATCCTTTTCAAAACCTGATGTTTTTAAGGTTTAGAAGCTGAAAAAACCTCTTAATGGAGAGTGACCTCCTGCAAAATAACCTCTGCCATGGGCAAGTGTTTCCAGCCTGGGGAGGAAAAACTCCCAACCCGTGTCGTAACATTTTCAGGTCTGTAAAATCAAACATCTTGAAGGTTCCTTTTGTAGCAGGATGCACATGCTGTAAGTCTTACAAAACTATCTTGAAGTGTAAACTGAAAGCCTTAAAACAGCAAAGTCAAAGCACAGAGTAAACAAAAACCACATCACTCAAGGTCAGAGCTGAATACTGATAAAGATTTTACATTACCACCAGAAGAAGAAATAAACCAAGTAGAAATGCTATTTTCAACTTGCCTTCAAATTCTAGCAAAAACTATTCGAGAACGTAGGAAATAATACTGGAGGGAATGGTGTTTTAAATGAAACTGAAATATAAAGGAGAAGCAGGTCTGAAACTAGGGGTCTTGGGTACAAGACGACAAGTTTGGAAAAAAACCCAAAAACATAACCACCTGGAGCATCCCTAAACTTCTTAAACCACAGAAACATGGAGGACATCTGGAGTTTCTTTAAACCATAGAGCTACCCAGTACTTCTATTCCCAACAAGGACTCACCCTATTTGGATCAAAAAAAAAACACCTCTGAAAAGAAAAGGTAGAGCATCTACAAGAAATCAGTGTTTGTTGCAACCAGTCAGCAATGAAATCTACAGTTTCAGTGGTGGAAAAGCAGAAATAAAAGGGAGCATTGCCAAAAGGAAAGTGGATTTAGTTACCACAGGGGAAATTAAATCAATACCAAAAGGTTATTCAGCCACTTTAAGGGGAAAACTGACAAAACACGGAGACTCTGAGCCAGTATGGATGGGACAGAAATGAAAGAAAAATTTTCTAAGTATGGCAGGAAGACTAACGATGCTTTGCTTTCATTTTCAGTATGGGGAATGATGAAGGACATGGAGACAAAAGATGAGACCATAGGTCAAAGGAAATGACAAGCAAGGAGGGAAAAAAAAAATCTTAAGTATTTCTGGAATATGAAAAAAGAAAAAGACGAGCAGGATTGTAACACAGCAGCTGTATTAATAAGAATGCTAAACAATATAATAAAATCCATCATGAACACAACCAGAGGACAGATTTAACAGCTGTCCCACTTCAAAATTCCCTCTAAAGCTCTCCAGACTATCGGCAGAGGTTGAGAACTACAGGAAGGACATGAGGCTATGACATGAATTCACCTGAGATGACACCACTCCTTCCTTTAAGACACCTTATCTCCTAAATAAGAAAGACAATAAACCTGGTTCACATGTTCACTAAAGCCTAGAAAAATGATTACTTAAGATTACAAAACCAGTAGAATTACTAGGTTAAGTGGGTAAGGAATAGACCAATATGAACATGCCATTGGACAATGTTAAAAATGCAGCTACAGTCCTGGGCTGAGATTTCTGAGAAAGGTGCTCAGGAACCAGGAGAGGAGTTATGAACATCAAGTAGTTGGCAAAAAAAAAATCCTGTACTGGAATTTACAGGGAAAACTTTGTTTTTCAAATGGTCACAGGAAAGAGACTCTGTAAACACCTTGTTCCACAGCTGTCAAGATGCTCAATATCAATAAACACAGTTAAATGATTTCTAACATGCTTTTTACTTCAAGAGTTGAGGTACAAACTTAAGTTTCAGCTTCTTTACCCTGTTTTTAAAGAAACAGAATGAGGTGGGGAAGAATAAAATGGAAAACATATCTTGGTTTTCCAGGATCCATGGGAAAGATGGCTATTGCAAAGCATTCAACTTGAGTCAGTCAAAAGAGTAGAGAGGAGGAGATTCATCTGAATAGATCTGCTTGCTGCTGCCAAACCTGGTAGGACTGATGAATTTAATATCACAAGTAGCTTTACCTTTTCAGCTATCAGACTCAGCTGGCAATATCATTAGGGATGGCAGAACAGCTAAAAAATGACCAAGCCCATCAATAAGAAATTATTTCTGTGCAAAGTATTAAGTTAGATCTAGAAAGCACTTGGATTGAGGCATATCCTAATTAGATAACCCAGGTGTCAGGCTACTTATCAAACATATCCTTTAACTGGGAATTATAACTTCAGTAACAAGCTGAAATCAGTTTGCTACAACTGGAGGTTTACAGAGTTGGTTTGAAAGCTCAAGATATATCCAATCCATCATCCACAGAGCCTGCAGTGCTATGCTCCTCCTCACTACCATACCACTCCCCACAAAAGTCTTTAAAAATCTTCTTGAGATTATTATGTAGCATACTTCAAACAGAGGAAATGACAAACTCAGTAAGGGGGAGATCTGGAAAAATCTCATTTGGTTCAAGAACTCACAGCTTTCCCTTAAAGCAACAGAGGCAGAATTGAACACCCTGCTTCTGTGCCCTCATTACTGTTTCCATGAGAACAACCTTCCAAAATCCTTCGAGTCTCCACCAAAGCAGCCCTAAATGTGACTAACCAACCAAACTCATTAATTATCTTGGCTTCAATGGCACGCCATTGCCAAGGAAATCAGCAAGAGCAGCTGGAAGAGCTTTCCCACCAGCAGGCCCCAATTTAGGAGCTTCCACTCTGAATGGGAGCCATGGTCACTTCAAGGTCAAAAGCTACAAAGGCATCTCTCTGTTTTGGCTTACCCATAACTAAACCAAACAAAAACCTCCCCAAAACAAAAGATGATGAGAAAAATGACTGTAGCAAAAAATACCAAACCCCAACAAAGACTCCACATGTATGCTCATTTGGTACAGAGTAAAAAGAGGAAAAAAAATAAAAGTAACTTAGTTTAGAATATAAGTTAGGACTCCTAACTGCAATTTTAGTACTCCTAAATATCTCATTGGAAGATAAGCTATGGATAATAGTATTCTGTTGATCCAAAGATGTAATTAACAAAGCAGTATGCTGGAATCCAAGTCATGCTGCTGGAAGGTCTCAGTTTGCCTTGCATCCTAATCTTTAGGTCCCCACTAATCCACAGTGTACATATTGTCATAACTCATTGCACAACCCACAACTGGACAATTGCAGAACCTTTCCCATAAAAGGTGCTACAAAAAATGGGGATTCTTTTTTTCAGTAGAGTGCTGAAACAATACTTGAGCAGATTTTTCAAGGAAAATATTTTGCAATGAACTGGAGGATTTTCTGGATGAGGATGATGAACCAGTGGTTCTCAATCTATGCCTGCTCAACTATCTTTGCAGTTTCAAGAGTAAAGCACAACATCTGCCTTTCCCTGCTGACATCGTGGCCAAAGCAAGTCCTCTAGACATTGCTGGGACATTTCTAAACTAAAAATAAACAGAGCCCTTCCTAGGTCTTTTCAGAAGAGCTGAGCTACAGGAGACAGGCTGGGAAAAGACCATGTTGCAAACCAGAAGCCCTTGGTAAGAACAAGGTTGAGGATCAGATGTTATTGTCCTGCTGAGCACTACTTCCCTTAATACAAGCAATAAATGGCATACGTTCATCACAATTTATCTGATTGTGTTCCATAAATGTAATCTGATGTAATGATTGTGGCACTACTCACCCTCTGCACAAGCATCATCCTCCTCTTCATCCACGTTCACTTCCTCTGCACGCAGCCTTTCAAGTGCTCTGTAAGGAGGTGGCAATTTCATTGGAGGTGGAGCCCCATGTTTTCTCTAATGGATTCAAAGACAAACAGTTACATGTTTTGTCACCTCCACGCACAAAGAAAAACACATACACAGCACTTACTGACAACAGTAAATTCTGCAGCACAGGCTTTTTATGCAAGATATCAGAACAAGAAGTGACACTGAGCATCAAAAAAATGAAAATACAATTGTGCACATACAATTACTTGTTGACAAAATGCTTGTGTATCATCATAAACATGAAAGTGTGAACATCAATCAAGGGTTAAAATAAATTATATTCCACTTATTAAAGACTCAGCAACAAAATTACTACCGATAAAAGTCAAGCTTTTAAATACAAAATAACTCAGTCTTCTTAGTGCATCTACAAATACTTAAACATAACAGTTCCCCCATATTTTTGCTTTAATTTAAAAAAGATTTTGAATTATAACTTACAATAAAATGTTATTACCTCACATAAATACAGGCAGCTCCTATAGTGATGCATGTAGCGGCGCATAGCAGGCAAAGAACAGGTTCTGAACCTAATGAAGGTGCTTGTTCATCCCAGCAACTGTTTTTATAGCTCCAAGTAACTGGATCATGCCTTAGTTTGCTCCACAGTTTCACTAAATTACGTTCAACTGTGTCCCATGCAACCCCACCACTAATGGCAGGATGCACTTAGCAAGGGAACACCGAGTACGAGATGCCATTAGAGCAACCAGAATGCCTGTAATTAATTGCTTCTGTAGCTGGGAAACACGACTCAACGCCCAAACTGCAAACTCAGAACCAAATTTTTTACCGTGTGCAATGAAAGCTGAACCCTCATATAGATTTTAGAAATCTTGAGCCTAAATTTGTATAGAATAGTCTAACTAGCAAGCTGCAACTACATCCCAAAACGTCGTGAGCTAAGATATGCATCATCCCATCCATTTAAAACACATTACAGGGGAATGCTGCACTGAAAACAGCATAACAATAATAAATGAAATCAATTCACTTCAATAGTAGTAAAGCACAGAGTAAGAGCACTTGGAGATGTGACAGCTGTTTTCCTCAAGTACACAGTACACTAAATATGCCTCCCACTTTTTGCTCGATGCCAACACAGGTAGAACTGTGCAAAATTCAGAAGGTTCAGGAGGTGTGAGAGGACTCCTGTTCTACAGCTCCAGACAGGTAAAAGACAGGAAACCTGCAGGCCCACTTTCAGCTGCCTGTGACAAATCAGTTGTATCACTATAATTTAGTAATAACTGAATCTAAATGTTGACCCTTTGGCTTTTTAAGAGCTCAAACATTTGTTAGAAAGCCTGTGTGAAATTACACAAGGCACCTAAGCTTATCCAGCAGTTTGCTATGGCTCAAGAGGACAAGCTTCTCCCATCCCTCCTGACCTGCTGAGAAGCCAGAGGAGGAAATTGTGCCAGAGTACTCCATTACACCACGGTTTTGTATTAATGCAGCTCTTTCCAGCACAGAGGCAAAAGCACAGTTCACATAGCCAACCTGGAAAATAATGTGAATATCTGGTTTGTCTGCAAGGAGCTCAGTTGTTTTAAGTGGTTTTATATGAATTACTTCAAGAGATCATTTCTAAACAAACAGATCAATAGAGGAGGATAAACACCAACAAATCGGAGAAAACAATCAGTATTGAAAAGAAAATTCATCATACAGGAAAAGGCAGATTTTCCAGCTAGAATGGCTGCTTTCAAACCAAACTCCTTTGTAGCACTTTGAAGACTGAACTAGAAATATCACTGATTCCCCATAGGGACACAGAGTAGTAATCCACTAATAGCAACTCTTTCCAACTCAGAGGTGCCCCTACTGTAGCACAGTAGGACTGCTTTGTGAACCAATGTTCAAAGCTAAAAGGGAGCTACATATTTATGCACTGAAGCTCCACTATATTCCACCCACCAGTTTACAGCACCAATAGATGAAAAAGGTTTGGAAAAGATTAGACTCTCTCTTTAACCTCTGAACGCTATAGAATGCAAGACTCTGGAGTCCTAGAGATTAAAGGCAGCACATTGCAAGAGGATGAGTGCTTTTGAGATTAGAAACAGAGATACAAACCAAGGAAAGGAGGTTGTAACTGCCTCATTATAAGTACTATCCACTGGCAGGAAAGCATGACTTCAACACCTTTCTTGATTTTTTTGAATAACTGAGCCTCATATCTGTATCTGACATGATCTGAACGAAGTCTTACAAAAATTTTTGGAGGCAAGAGGGACTTCTCAGCTTTCCACCACACACCAGGCTACTGAGTAAGACCACATGAAAAGTTCATCCTACTTGTAGTTAGCATGTTAAAGTCCAGTAGGCAAAAGTTATTGTCTACACTAATTCCATCCCTGCTCCTCCAGTTCTGACACCCTCAAAGTACCTGAGCTACACTCATCAGTCAGCACAGTTCCCCCAGGAAAACACCTAGGCCATTAAAGCAATCTGGCTGGGAAGGAGAAATTAAATTCTTCACTGAGGGCAGCGATTAAAACAAATCCACTGGTTTAGACCAGATTTTTTTTTCTCTTTTAAATTTGCTGTGAAGTTGCTTGAAGTTACTGTGCAGTAATTGCTTCACAATTAGCTGGCCAGCTCCAGATCATTCGGTCATTTCCTTGGTTTACACAGCAATGGGAAATGGAGGAGACTTACCAGATTTAATTAGCCAATAACATGATTTTACTGAATTTCAGCCAGCCTCACATTAAGGATATCATTTGTGTACATGTTATTATTTCTCTGTTTCTGCTGAACAAAGAGAATCAATTTGCTGCCATGTGGAGCAAAGCAGGTACCTCCAGAAAGATGACAGCGACGAGGTGCACTAAGTACAGGGTTGCAGCACCCAGGGGAGACCCACAGAAGATCTTTTAGAACCCTGTCATCTATTTGGCAGGAATTTGGCAAAAATTACTTGAATCGAAGATATTTCAAGAAAACACTTCAAGTTTCATTTCAGACTTTGGGGAGGGGAGCTGATGGTAGAGTCATACTGCATGCTATTACACCATTCAGTTCAGTAAATAAATACCTTTTCACTCTTATTTTCTTTGTCTGCATCCTGATCTTTGCTGACTTTAACTCCCTTAGGCTGTACAGCAGAAACCACCTGAAAAACAACACATCTGTTACACAAATTAGAAAGAGCACTACAGCCATGGAACAAACATCCAAAAGTCAGGTAATGACAATGATAAAAGCTATCCAGGGCACTCTTCATTTTGCTCCATGTACAAGGGCACTGCAGTGAAGTTTTAAAATTACATTCTTTCACTGAATTTCCAAATGTTCTCTACTTTTTCTAGTGCTCACTGTTTAATATCATTTTGGCTTGGATCAACACTAGTGTGGCCAGCTGGACTAGGGCAAAGATCATCCCCCTAAACTCAGCACTGGGGAGGCCATCCCTCGAATCCTGGGTTCAGTTTTGGGCCCCTCACTCCAAGAAGGACCTTGAGGGCCTGGAGTGTGGCCAGAGAAGAGCAAAGAAGCTGGGGAAGGGTCTAGAGCCCAAGTCTTGTGAGGAACAGCTGAGGGACCAGGGGTTGTTTAGCCTGGAGAAAAGGAGGTTCAGGAAAGACTTTTGCACTCTCTACAATCACCTGAAAAGAGAGTGTAACGTGGTGATGGTCGGTCCGTTCTCCCATGTAGAAAGCGATAGGACAACAGGAAACGGCCTCAGGTTGTGCCAGGGGAGGTTTAGGTTGGACATGAGGAACAATGTCCTCCCCACAAGGGCTGTCAAGGCCTGGCCCAGGCTGCCCAGGCAGTGGTGGAGCCCCCATCCCTGGAGGGATTGAAAAGACTTGTAGAATCATAAGTTGTTCATGTTGCAAGAGACCTTTAAGATCATCAAGTCCAATCATTAATCCAGCACTATCAAGTTCACCACTAAACCATGTCCCTCAGCACCACATCTACATGTCTTCTAAATTACTTTAGGGATGGGAACTCTACCACTGCCCTGGGCAGCCTGGGCCGGGTGGTGCTGAAGGACACGGTTTAGGGGTGACCTGGCAATGCTGGGTTACCAGTTGGACTTGATGGCCTTGAAGGTCTCTTCCAGTCAGAATGACTTTATGATTCTGTGAGTCTATATCTAGCCCAGTCTCTTCATTCAATTAAACATTTCTTTGGAGTCATCCATATGGGTGTACATCCTTGTTACAGAACTCAGTATGGACTCCCGAAGTGTCAGCTCTTGGGAATTCAGACAGACACCAGTGCCCATGCACACAGACACCTTATGAAACAGAGCACATTTAGTCTCCACATGATATTCCTTTATTCTTCCAAGGGGAAACTTTTATGGCATTTTAACAGGTTTTAACATAGTTTAAGCTCAAAGTACTCAAAATGTAAGCAGCGATCTTTAACTTGGGTCACATGAGCAGGCCATATAAAAGAAAATGGCTACTCCTGAGCCCCTTTTCAGTCTTCTACTATGTTACAAAATCTGATGTGTTCCCACTTTTCTGGCAGCTTCTTACTTTGCTGAATGGGAGTTGGGACCGTGTAGCACGGCTGAAAGTCTCTGAAGTTTCCTACAGCACGCAGTTCAAAGCAAAGCAACTCAAAATTCAAGCTCTCTGTCCTTCCCTTGATCTCTCTGGATTGACTAGGAAAGTAAGGGTCAGAGATGCAGCTGAATGTTCTGACAGTTTTTTTGGATCTTTTCTGTGAAAAAGCCGATACAGAAAGGGAACCAACTCAGTCACCATCACTGTGATTTTTGCCATCACTGCTTGAGCACCTTCACAGCATAGCTAGTAAAAGTCTTAACAGATTGTGAAAGACTCCCTGGAGCACTGGAGAAATAATGGACACAGTTTGCTGGATTTGTCTACAGCTGTCAAAAAAGGTCTCCTCAGGGCTACTAATCCACCAAAATTCCCAATTAATCTCTCAGATTATACAAGTACACAAGTCTTGGGGGCTTATGTGTACTTCAAGGCAGGCAGAGTTGTACACCCTTTCTTCCTAAGGCATTAAAAGGTTTCTTGCCTTGGTCTTAAAAAGGAGGAAATGCCAAAAATCTCTTGAAAATTAACTTGCCCCCATGTAACTACTTCAGGTCCCTTTGGTGACACATTTTATGTGGAGCTGCTAGTGTGAATGTGACTAATTTTAACTACACTTTTGTTCATTTGGATAACACAGTACATATTTAGGTTATCAAATATGAACAAATTAAAATATACAGGGCCAGACGCAGTTACACAGATGGGAGAACTGAATTAACACCTAGTCAACAGATTTACATCTACTCAATTTACATCAGAGAAACAAGTTTTCAGATCAGGCCAGACACGTAATCAATAAATCACAAAGTCTACGAGCAGAAACTCTGACAGAGAGGATGGCCACAAAAATTGATGGAAGTCACTGAAAGGAATTTAGCCAAGTTGAAAATAAAATGCATATTACACATTTTTTAAGTTTTAGAATAAAAATACAAATAAAACTTACTTTTGGCACGTTAGACAAACCCTGAACTACGAAGACGACAGGATTTCCCGCGTTCTTGATCGCTTCTACTGCTTCCTCGTGTGTGGCATTTTGTAGGTCTACCCCAGAAACCTGACAAACAATGTTTGTTTTTATTAGGTAGCTTGCCTTTGGCACAGAGTTATTGCAACAGATCACACACGTTTGCAGAATGTATCTGAGGAAGTTACTAAAAGCAGTCAAGAGAAACTACTTGTCAAGTATGTTTCCATGATGGTTTAAAGAAAAGTACACTGTTCAGTATTCTAATTAAAAGGTGAACATGTGTTTCCTAATGCAATTCTTCTAGAGAAAAAAACATAAGGAAAAACATTCTCAGTGAGTGCTAGGTATGATACAACTCTTTCAGATTTTATTTGTTTGAAAACTAAACCTGTTTTGAAACAATTTTTCACACAGAACTCTAAAGCACATACAAGAACAGAACTATCCACTTGGGAACTTGGATGCAGAATTATTCATTGGGAGAAAAAGGAATGAAAAAATCCACAGAGAGCTAGAGATGAGAGCCAGGAATGGCATTTTTCCCTATGGCACCTGCCAGAATCAGGGATTTACCCCAAATAGTAGCTAATCAGACTGTTAACTACTCCAAATTCATACACACACAAAATAACAGCCCAAATTTCAGTATGAAGAGTCTATTTGCTTATATAAAAGAAAGAAACAAGGCACTCTCATCTTTTTCATTTCCTCATCAGATACCAAGACCTAGCTTTTCTTAAATATAGTGGAGAATGTTAAAAGAGCTCCATAGTCAGGCATTAAAAAACAGAAAAGATGACACCAGGGTTTTTTTTTGGTTTTCAAAACACAGTGTCATCAATACTTCATGAAGTGGTGGCAGTGCTTTGTCTCTCTCTTCTCACCGAGATGATCGAGTCAATCTTTATTTCTTAGAATGAAAAGGTAGGTTTATCTGCATTTACCTCAAGTATTTTATCTCCAGTTTTTAAAGCTCTTGTTCTTCCTGCTGGGCTATCTTCCAAAACTTGTTTGATGAAGATCCCTTTGAGTTCTTCCCCATTCTTCAGACGCTTTATGACAGTTTGTCCACCAACAATACTGATTCCAAGAGACACATGAGGGTCTCTAAAGATCTCAACACTGAAAAAATACATGTGGTAGTTTAACAGCTTGAAACTTGGTTTTTTTTGTTTTTTTTTTAAACCATAAATGCAGAGCCTTAAATAAATGTAAGCATCTGGTCTTTCAAGAAGATTTAATAGAGTGAAGGGATAAGGTCAGAGGCCCAAGAATGCTCTCAGAGTTGGCTTTTTACCCCAAGCAGGCCTCACCCCACAAAAAACCCCTCTAAATTCTGCTACCTACCCATGCCTACTGGACATAGGCTTTTATTTTAAAGAAAGACAGGGTAAAATGGGAAGGTCTTGGGTAAACGCTCATCCTCTTTCAGTTCAGGTTAACTGTCTGAAAATGGCAAATTTCAAAAGGTCTGAAAGTGGCATGCTAGACAAAAAATACAACAAATTGTTTCACACAACTTTCTGAATGGTGACTTCAGTGTATGGGATGCATATTAATCAGCTTAGGCAGAAATGTTTTGATCCTATTTTACCTAGGACCATAAAACTGATTCACCTAAAAATGTTAACAATACAAGGATGTGGCTAAAACTTGGCTTGGCAATTTGGAATTCTGCCATTAAGTTTAGGCAGAGAAGCCATGGAAAAGGAGACAGCAGCACTATGTGCATTGTTCACACCTAATAGTTATTAAATGAGCAAGAACTTGTAGGTCATCCACAACGAAAACCTGCCAAGCTTTCCCAAGTCAGCTGTATAAATAGAAGGCATAATTCTGTTGAACATCTGTTTAAAATTCACTGTATCTAAGAAAGCTCAAGGTACACAAGTACCTAAAAGTTATTGGCAGAGGAGGGGAAAAAGAAAAACACAGCCATGAGAATGAACTGGGCTCATAGAAAAAAAGACATAAGGTGAATGGGAAGAAAATGTAATCATATGAACATACGTCCGTGGTGGTCCCCAGTGGCTGAAGTTTGGAGTTTCTTCTCCTTCTCCTTCTTCTCTCTCAGGTAATTCACTAATTGGGGGCAGAGGGAGGGGAGGAATAAAAGAAAAAATGAATTAAAAAGACATCCCCCATTCCAGGTCACAATTCCTTACATAGTTTGTATCTGGCAGTGAGACAGCAACGTCTTCTCACACTGTCCAGTTCAAACCAAATGTGCAGAGTCAACAGACTAGACAGGAATTTCTGTATTTAGGTTTAAATGTACTCGAGGAATGCTCCAGAAATAAACATGATGGGCAGAGCAAAATTATAAGCTGTTCCATGATATACAAATCTGCACTGCATTTACTCATTCAAAACAACTATTTCAGTAATTAACATTTACTTTCTGCTAAATATGCTGTGATTCTTTCTTAGATATAAACATGATAAAACCAGCCTAGCTGACCAGAAAGCAGATCATGATCCATCTGGGAGAACATATCCTCTGTGTTCCATTAAACACTCCAGACCAGGGTGTTAATTAAACTGTTATACTATATGTGACTCACCTACTCACAAAATAGGAATGGAAGTATGGAATTGCATGTCCCTAAAGAAAAGCTGAAACAATACATCCTTGCACACATTTTCTGTAGATCTTGAGAGCTGTAAATGCTACTCTGAAACTGCAAAAAGGAAGTAGGATGTTGTCCTGGAGAAATAATCCCCTCACCTTATTGTTGAGCTGCCTTCCCTCCAAGGGAGGATTACAGATGAATTAGGGAAGTGCTGAAGACTTGAATCCACAGGCTCCAAAAGCAGATCCACTACCTACTCACCCAAAGCTGGTGGGGAAAGAATGGGATGCTTGACAGATGTGGCAAATATCTACAACCACTGTCAGCTCAAGGTTTCCCAGCACCACTGGCAAGACTAAAATTTCCCTGCACAGGGCTAAGAGCCCTGGCTGAGAGTACTCAGAGGACGAAATGTGGCAAGTAAAGATACAAGAAGGTTAGAAAGCAAAATTCAGCTCCTTGGGCAAAAGTTACAGAACTGTATGTCTTACTGTTTCACAAAGCTTTTGATGATTCCTCAGCTAAGTAAAGCAAGAAGATAGTTAAGATCATGAATTGAAAATCTTCCAAAACCTGAAATCTTTCTCCATACCTGCACATCGCTGTTCTAGGCTGAGCTAAGGTGGTTACACTCCCAGATTCTGGGTTCTTGGAAAAAACATAATCCTCCCTTTTTAGTTCTTCCTTTTCAATAGCTTCCAGGTCAAGAGCAAGCCCAGGTCCTTTAGAGTCAATCTGAAGCTTTGTATCTGAAGAAGAAAAGGTGCAAATGTGAACTTCTGCTGCTCCTGTCCCTCCATCCACCAGTTATCACCCTTGGAAAGAAGCTCCTCAGCTCACCACTTTCCCAATGTAGATGTTGTGTGATGTGATGTGATGGTCAAGAGGCTTAGAGACACAGAACATTTCGTTTTGAAGGAAATGTAAACCACACTAAACACTTTCTTAAAGCATCTTGCTTTTGACGTATGTTCAGTCAAGTAATAACAGGAAACACCAAATCTTTGTGGAACTGAGACATGCTTAGGTACAACTTGCACAACAGACATTCCTCACAAAAACACATGATTAGAAATACCGAATTGCCCCTTTATGCAGAGAGAGGGATGCAAAGCCCTGCTCCAGCACTGAACCCCATCACATGGAGGAGGACTGATGTCATTTTGGTGACAGAAGTGTCCAGGTTAATTGCACCACCAGAGCTCCTTGCAAGAGTTGTCAGTCTGCCAGTGTAGCTTACAGTGTCTGCTGGGCAAGACACAGGTGATAAAAAACAGGAAACAGCCCAACCTCCTTTATTCCCAACCAGTGAGTGCTGTCTCAGGCAGGCTGATAAATTTATTTCCCTGATGATCCACCAGATTCTAACCATTCATTTCTGGCCATCTGACAAGGAGAAACTTTGCTCCAGAGCACAGATTACAAAACCAAGATATGGGATATTATATATATCCTAGAGGTCATTTGCAGATTTTGGTTGTAGTAAAGATACTTCCAGAGCCTGTCACCTTTTTTTTTTTTAAGTACAAAAATCTATAAAATCAGCAATCAAAAGTGACTGGCAGAAATTAGATGTGAGCTACTGTTTTATTTATGCATGAAGTCCTACTGGGGACATCAGCTACACAGAAGAAAGTGATTCTCCACAGGTAGGACAAAGCTGTAGCCACTCTCAATATCACTTGTGACAACTGTAGGTAAAGATTTTAAAGAGGAAGCAAGATCACAAAGCTGAAACCTATTTAAAGCCAGACTGTCTTGAGCTCACAGAACTCGTAATCTGAATATTTTATCATTTCAAAGAATTTGTGTTTTGGCATAAAATTTAAATTTGTAAGCATGAAATGATGAGATAAAGAAAAAATTCTACAAACCTAGATCCATCTTGTTTTTCGCTTCTGACTGGGTAGTTTTGGTATCAAATGTGTCTTTTTGGTAGCCACTCTGTGCTGTGGTTCCAGAAAACAGTGAACTTACACTAGCATTTTCTTCACACTTCAGAGGGGGGAAAAAAAAAAAAGTAAAATTAGAAAGCAATGGTATCAATTTATATAGGGTTCTGACATGAACACTGATTTTTACAGCAAACTTTCACATTTTCTTAACTACATTCATATTTATTCAGATAACTATGAAATACTAACAGCTCATTTATGTACTATATTAAGAAGAGGCAGGAAAAATGTTATATACAATTGCAATATAAAGCAACTGTATCTCTCTACTTGCCTGTAATCCAGACAAGAAGTTCTTTAGTCCTCCTCGTTTGTTGGTTTTAAGTAACAAATGTGTAAATTGAATATTGTGTACTCTAGTGTAAAGCTGTCACTAGAAGCTACATGTTAGCCTGTTTATGGACATAGTGCACATGGGGACGAGCCAAACCAAACCTGAAATTCTCTGTGGCCATGCTAGTAAATCCTTTTCCAGTTCATTTTTAATATAAAAGCATACATCCCAAAGGCTGGTGCATGGAAGGCTGATACTATCACTTTTTTGTTTGACAAGTGAATAAGCAAAGAAGAAAAAAAGTAGTTCTCAGAATACTCAAGGGGGACACAGCTTACCTAAAGCTCTTGTCTCCTATTCCTTTGTCCACCAGTATGCTTGCTACAATTGCTTCTGCCATACCATTTTTTGCTCAACTGCTCTAACATCTGGCTCAAGGAACTGATTTGGATTAAGAATAATGAGGAAAAAAGGGAGTTCCTTTCACTGACATTGCTGCTGAAGCCCCTGGACTGTTAAACCCACAAAGTGACATTCTTCTATTACTGTCATGAACCATATTAGTACAGCTTGCAAAAGAGAACTGAGCCCATGAACGGGCTCAGCTGAGCTCAGCCTGAGATGGGAAGGAAAGGGTAAGTGCAGGATACCTGTAAATACACCAACCACAGCACATACCTCATTGGAGCAGTTAAATATACTATGTGACCAAAAGAACCTTCCAAACTGTACAAAAGGATAGAGGGTGTCCATTAGAGGCACCCAGATCTCATCTAGTCATTAAAACTCCAGAAAAATTCCTTCCAGAAGGCACATCTGGAGTTTCCCTTGAGGCATGGGTCCCCTGGTCAAGGCAGAGCACCGAGACCAACGCAGCACTCCTTACCATCTCATCTTCATGGAGTGGATATTCCAGGGACTGGCTGGGACTGAAACCAACACTGGATCTTAAGTCTTGTGTTTCAGTAGTCTCAGCTTGCTTTGCCCATTGTTCTGTGTCAAGGTTCCTCTCTGAAACTGCCTTCTGTCCACATGATGCATTATATTTCAGGAAGGCTGAGTCTTCTTCATACTCTTCATCCACCAGCATTTCCCGCTCCTCACCCATTTCTCCTGTGCTGGCTTTCAGAAATTCATGCATCTCCCAGGACTCCTTCTCATGCTCACTGTCATTTTGAGAAAGCTGAAATGACCTTCCCAAGTTCAAAACAGGTTCATCAACAAGTTCTTCTTTAAAAGGTGTTTCATCTCTGAAACCCTGCATAAAACACGACAGGAATATAGATTTTACATTATGCTTCTTGCTAACTCTTATGTTAGCCCCTTATTAAAAGTACATCCTGATTCTCAAAGTGAAAAACTTCTACCTTTTGCATTTTCTAAAAGAAAATACACTCTAGGACTTACAATTGTAACATGAAAAATACAGTCCACTTTTTTTTTTTAACTATAAAGAAATTTACAGTTGCACAGCTTAGATATAGCTGCAGCCATTCAGAATAGCCAATCTGAACTGAAGTTAGGGAATAAGAATTATTACATAACACTAAAAAAAAGTATATATAAATACAGCTAAAGTATCTCTGTGCTCCAGACTTACCTGCTATGGCTTTATGAATGCATATGAATGCATGGACATTTTTTACAATCCTACCAGATAAATAAAAACAGCCTAAGAGTTTAGGTAACAGTAAACAGTTCCACAACAGCATGAGCAATCAAAATACAGCAAAACAAAATCCATACTCATTTGTTCCTCCCTTGGGTATTCCATAGAATATTTTAACTGGGGGGAGAGGGGAAAAGGATGACAAAAAAAAAAACAAACCCAAATGTAATTGACTATTCATTATCTAATACCTCTAATGTTTTAAAGAGAAGAGTGCTCAGCTTTCTACTGAATTCAAACCAGAGAGCAACAAACTAAAAACAAAAAAAACACAAATGACAAAACTAAACAAAAAAAAAAAAACCAAACAAAAACAAGAACAAAAAACCCACAAATGACAAAACTAAAAGAAAAGGTATTCAAACCCACTCTGAAAGGTCTCACTCAACACTTCTTTTTTCTGGGATTTGTCACATGTGCCCCCAATTTCCAATGCCCCATGCTTCTCCTGAACTGAATGGGACTCACAGAGTGAGCCTGCACAGGCAGCTCTGAAATATTATGCCTTGCACTAGTACCAGAGAGCTTGCCACACACAGAAAGCTTTTCCTCTCTGTTCTTCAGGCCACCAAGTAGGTATGCCCAAACCTCATCTTCAAGGCACTGAAACCTCAAACACTGAAACCAATCTACAGATTATGGGGTCCTCAATCAAAATGTTTTTCTTTCTGCTTCCTGCCCCTTCCCAGACTCCCCAAGGTACTTTACCATTTTTGACCTCAAGCGTCAGGATCCTGTTTTGTTAGGTTTGTACAAATGCAGATGAAAAAAAACCCAGACGCTGCCAAAACGTTCACATAGCTCAAGTGAGAGGCAAGAGGGAAAACAAGAGACAGGCAAGAGCATAAGGAAACAAAGCAATAATAGCAGCTGGCATGAAAGAGAACATTAGCAACCTAGAAATTAGCACATTTTTCATAAGCATTACATGTTCTTTTAACCTATTTGCCCTATGTACCTCGATCTCAAAAAATACCCAGTCTGAAGAGATTCTAATTCTCTCCATCTTTACTTCATTTAATTGCATTTCACTTCTGCAGAATCATCCTCCAAATGCTTTGGTAAGAGGCACCAACTTCATTGTTATATAAAACAGTTGACTTAGCTGAGAACCACCCAGGAATGTGTACTACCACCTCCTGATACAGCCCTGAGGTATGGATAATCACAGACTGCTGCACTGCAGCAGCAGAAGCTACTGATGGAACAGGGAATACTGCAAACAAGACACTAAAGTCTACTGTCATAGCACATAAAATCTACAAGTTCCTATTTTTTGTTTCCTTTCAAGTCAGCTTTGTCAGCACTACGCTGGTGCATAAGAGTGGAAGCCATCATGACACACCACTCTTGGCTCTTATATGAGCAGGTGAGATAATAAATGGATGGAAAATTTATACTGCTGCTCTAAGCTACTATCAATGCTGTCATCCAAAACGTAAAACAAAACACAAGCAGATACCTCTGCATGGCTTTTGTATAAATTGATCATTCCAGTTTCTACATTCAGCAAGACTTGAAGAGAAAATATTTTAAAATACTTAATAACATTAGTTTTATTTAGGAAGCAGAGAAACAACCTGAGCTGGCAGAGGAATAACTGCTCTGCCAGCAACCCTTCCTATGTACCCAGAAAGCAAAAGACTCCATTTTACAGTATAAAAATCAGTAAATATCATGTCCAAGCTAATTTCTACATAGTATAACTACATCTACCCCATAATACTGCTCTTTTTGGTGGTTCTAATATACCATTTCAGCATTAAAGATATGTTTTTACTGAGAGACAGGCAGACATCTTTAGCAGCAAGAAAACCTAGAATTTATTTTTATTACTGAGTTGCAGCTCTGGATGATCTTTTACGTATTGCCTTTCCTGGCCTAAAAAGAATGCATTTTCCAACATGAATCAATAAAAATTTTGCAAAGCACTTAAGAACAAATGAGAATTAAAAAATATCATTCTAAAAAGGTCAGTGTTGTAACAGTATTGCCTATTGTCCTAGTATATGAGTTTCTTACTATCTTTAGAGCCTTATCCTCCCACAATAAACAGAATTTAATTTCTCAGAAAATAAGAAAGAGGAAGAGTGTAAAGAAATCACTCCAGACCACATAGGAAGCCTAGGAAGAAGAACAGATTTCAGGCTTGCTTTACACATTACTTTTTTGCTTTACTTCTTTGTATAAAAAGTATTCTGTTCCCACATCTTACTGTCTTAGCTAAGCTGAAGCAACTACTTATGACTACTACTAACACAGCATTCCTATTTCATATCCAAAGTAACTCAAAGTATTTTAATGACATAGTAAATTTGATAAGGCAGTCTGGGAACTGCACTGGTAATTGCTGTGCATGTGCTTACTGTTCACAACACCATCAGTACAGTTTGCTGTTAAGAGTCTTTTTCAGAGGGAATCCAGCCTGAAGTCTACCCAATAAAGTCTTACCTGAAGGACATACTATTTTTTTTTCCACTTTAAAGCATCATTTCCAGTCCATACAGACTTAAGCTGAACTAAAAGAGTAACCAAATACCTGTGGTGCTTCAAGTACTATTGAGAAATTATCTATTGGTTCTGGAGATCCAGGGCTGGTTTTAACGTTGCTGGAATTCACACTGGGCATGTTCTCTTCTTCTTTGACTCCTCCCTAAGAAAGGTAATCAAAGTGATGAGTTAGGAAAACCAACAAAAAAATTCCTACATCTTTCAATAAACTAAAAGGGAGAGGGAGAACCAGCCATTAGAAAAAAGATGGGAAAAAGTTACAGAATTATAAAAAAAAAAGTCATGAATGGAGAAGACAAAGACAACAGCTTTTATTCTTTTAAGATATTAGTACAGATACAGTAAAAAATAAAGATGTGTAGGAAATATGGACAAAGACAAAGATATGAACAATGACATATCACTTTTTAGAAAAGTAAAGAATACATTTAACAGCCTCCCTACAGTCCTATTTCATCACTCCTCTACCACTCTGAATTACAAGCACTTTCTATTAGATAGTGCTTTGCTTTAATTAATTTTGCCTGGGTGCCCTTGGTGAACAATGCTGCAGTGTTCTCAAGTAAACTACTGTCTGTTCCAAAGCCCTTGGTCTAGAAAAAGGAAATTCTACTTGAATTTACAGTCTTGACTTCAAACAGATTAAGTTTCTTTGATGTCAGTGGAGCTCAAGCAAGCACTTAGCAGTGTCTTAGAGTGAAATGGACTTCAGCACATATTTAACTGATTTGCTGAATTGCTCAAACCATGTTACACCTCCTCACAGGGCCAGTGCACAGAGGTTTGCCCAGACATGTCTTCTGATTCCACACGGATGTTCTTTCAGGAGGAACCTGAGAATGCCGGTTTTCCAGTCAGATCTTTTGGATGGCCAACTCAGTAAGTTGGCTATTTGCCAGCTAGCCAGAATTTCTGGATATGTCAAGGTCTGTGCATAGCAACTCAACTGCTTTCCAATTTCTACCCTGAATTTCCAACCCCTCCAGATAAAACAACCCAGTCCACACATCATAGAATCAAACAGAAAAACGTTAAAATCAGTCCTTACCACCAAAGGCTTGCAGATTCCAAGAGAAACTGTACCAGGGGGCACAGATTTCAGCACTTCCACTGCCTCTGCCAAAGTGGCACTGTCCAGAGATTTCTGATTCACAAACACCAAGCGGTCCCCTGGTAAAAGCTCACCCCCACGTTCAGCCACTCCACCTGCCACCAGAGAGCTGATCACAATGGCTGTTCTCGTTGGATCTAAGGGATCCTGGGGAAGAAAAATACAATAAAATTAAATTTAAAAATTTAAAGTCAAAGCCCCTGGAAGGATGATGTTTATTTTGAGTATGTAAAGAGCATTTAAGCACGTCCATCATCTAATGCTACAGAGTTGAAGCTTGCTGAGGTGTTCAAAAGGATTGTCTACTAATAGTGCCAAAGCTCACAGTCTACAAAAATAAAGGTTTGCCATAGGAAACATTCTGTCACTTGCCTAGTCCATTAAGAAATGCTACAATCTGAAAGCTGACTGACACCCTGCCTGCCCTCCCCTTACATACCCAGGAACAGCCAGGCCAACCTGCAAATAGAAAAACAACACTGGCATTCATCCATGAGCCTCCATCCAGCCTGTTACATGCTAATGTTACATAAAATCACCATCCTCCGTGCCACGCAAGAGCTTCACAGCAGCAAAATTATCTTAAAATAAATCATTGCAAGATTAGAAATTTAATTAAAAATATTATTAAATGAAAATTTAAAAACAAAGCCAAAATATTCAAGAAATAGTAGTGTGCATTTGCTATGTTACTGCAGTGCTCCTGCTTTGATAAATCTGCAGAATTACTTGTAAGAGACATTTTCTCTACCCATGAAGCTTCCTTAACAGAGAATACAGGAGACAGCAACAGAAGAGATTATTAACTTAAATGATTACTGAAGACAAGCAACACTGTGGTGGTGTAGGCAGGGGAATGTGAAGTAGAAAATATTACACACATTGAGAACAGCTGTAAACTAATGCAAAGATATTAACTTTTTTTTCCAGCATTACCCTTTGCGTTGTGTCATGTACCATTTAAAAATTCATTCTCAATCCAATGAAAGGACCATAAGTTATTATATAGTAGCAGAAAAAATATACAAACCAAATTTTTGGGGTTTTGTTGTAGTATTGTTTTGGTGTTTTTTTTTGTTTTTGTTTTTGTTTTTTTTCTTCCCCCCATTTGTTTTAAGATTAGAATTAGCCTTTCTCCCCTTTGCTAAGGGTTCATAAAGTTCAGAAATACCCCTTGTATGCACTGTGTCTCCAAATGCATAATCATGTACTATTTTTCCCTCAGGACTTGCATCTTATACAGGGCACGGGAGGGATTGTTTTGGTGTTTTTTTTTGTTTTTGTTTTTGTTTTTTTTCTTCCCCCCATTTGTTTTAAGATTAGAATTAGCCTTTCTCCCCTTTGCTAAGGGTTCATAAAGTTCAGAAATACCCCTTGTATGCACTGTGTCTCCAAATGCATAATCATGTACTATTTTTCCCTCAGGACTTGCATCTTATACAGGGCACGGGAGGGATTGAAAAAAAAAAAAAAGGGCAAAATTCAAACCACAGAGACCACCGTGAATGCAGCACCTCAGTGTTAATTTGAA